GAAAGAAAGAAAGAAAGAAAGAAAGAAAGAAAGAAAGAAAGAAAGAAGGAAGGAAGGAAGGAAGGAAGGAAGGAAGGAAGGAAGGAAGGAAGGAAGGAAGGAAGGAAGGAAGGAAGGAAGGAAGAGGAAGGGAGACAAAGGAAGAGGAAGAGAAAGAAAGAAAGAAAAAGAAATAGGGAGAGAGAGAGAGAGTGTAGTGTGTGTGAGAGAGAGAGAAAAAGAAAGGAAGGGAAAGAAAGACAGAAAGAGACAAAGAAAGAGAAAGAAAGAAAAAGAAATAGGAAGGAGAGAGAGAGACAGAGAAAACTCTGTGCTATTATTTTTAATTGTTCCATTATTTATCATGTGTTAATATTTTACACTGTCCCTACACCTAAAGTGATTCTACTGCCTTTCTTTTTCCCAGGGCTACCACATATTTTTCAGAGTTTACATGCATTCAATGTCTATAGTCCAGAGCATAAATACATGTGTGTTTAACAGAGTTGAAAGGGAGTTTGGAGGTCTTCTAGTCTAACCCCCAGCTCAGGCAGGAAAACTGAGGATGCCAAACTCTGAGTAGAGGTCCTGGGAAAGGTGTCAGAATAACACTTAGAAGGGACTTTTGGGGAAACCCTATACCATTTCAGAGAAATGGCTGTCCAGTCTTTTCTTAAAAACTTCCAGTGATTGAGCACCCAGAACTTCTGGGGACAAGCAGATCCACTGGTTAATTGTTCTCACTGTCAGAAAGTTTCTCTTTAGTTTTAGGTTGCTTCTCTTTGTTCAGTTTCCATCCATTGCTTCTTGTTTGCCTCCTGGAGTTTTGGAAAATACACCCCCCACCTTTCTTTGTGGCAGCCCCTTAAAAGCCTGTTGCCTATCACACTCTTGAGTAAAGCATGTGAGCCATTTCCTCCTTTCAGTGGTCCATGAAAGTACATCTATGGTATGCAGATAATAAAGTCAGAAAAGGTGAATGACCTTTTTACAGAACTATAGATAAGTTGAGGCTGGGTGACAAGGAATGGCTGGGAGGGGAGGGGCCAGGTGAGGCACCCCTTGATGTGAGTGACATTGAGTTGGCCACGCCCACCCAGTCACATGACCACCACGCACGTCCACCCAGTCACATGACCACCAAGCCACACCTACCAAATAAGCCATGCCCACAGAGCCGGTAGTAAAAAATTTTGAATTCCACCACTGAAAAGAGCCATGAATTGGTCAGAAATTTAGCAGAAATCACACCTAAAATTATTTGTTGACTTGGTTAATATGGCTTGGTTAATATAAATCCCAATGATCACTGAAGTAATCAGAACTTTCTGGTGCAAAATGTCAGTATGAGATAGCAGTGAAGATACAGATGTTCAGTAGGTCTGCAATTCAAATTCATTATTTACTTTACTTAATAGCATCTGGATAATGTATGAATGGCTCATTAGGAAAGGTTCTTAGGGGAAAATCTAAATTACTCTTGACTAGGCCAATCTCTCTCTCTCTCTCTTTCTCCCTCCCTCCTTCCCTCCCTCCGGTCTTACTGAGATCCATTTAGGTATACTTGTTCACCTAAAATCTCTAAAAGTGGGGAATTCCCATCTACAACCCTGGAACTTTCTGGTTTTCTTTGATTTAAAATCATCAGGGCCTGCAAATGAATGTAAGGACATCCAAACATCAAACTGCACAAAGTGGAAGCACTATATCCTTTGCTCTTTTTGTGGCTGAGGTGTGTTTCTTGCAAGTTTCTGGCATCCTTCCTCCTGCCACTCAGCCATTTCTGCATGATCAACTTAGTGTTCAATCAATAGTTTCCTATTCATGTATTATTCTGCTTCTCCAAGAAAGGCTGTCCCCAGAGAATTTTTTTAAAAAAGGAGATGAGGTTTGTCTTGAGGTTTGCAAACTGAAAGAAAAAGCAGACGGACTCACAGAAAAAAAATGGGTGACGAACAAGAGGAAAACGGAGGGAAGTAATTTTTTAAGACAAAGCAATTGAAGCAATGAGTGTGCCTTAGCATTTATACTCCACTAAGTCTAGATTGAGATTCATTTTCAGACGTTCTTGCTTAAGCAGTAGTTCAAGTGGGGTTAATCTCCAGACACATGCAAATTACTCATGGGTGGGGGAGGGGGGCAAAGAACTGCACCAGTCCATTTGCTGGTTGATCAAAAGGATCAAATCATGTCTTCTTCCCATGAGTTTCCTTCCAGAAAGCAAAGTGAGGTTAAAGGATATCAGAGATGATTTTTTATTGTCTCCAAATGAAGGCATATGAATCATGACATCAACGTACAATTGATGCAAATATGGAATCGGTGTGAATAGTACTGGGATATCTGATGCAAAATTGAATATCACAATGACAACATGGCATTCATGTTATCGTTTTTCTTTCCTACTGGTACCAACAAAATGGATTGTTCTCCAGTTTTCCAATGTCATGGTGCATAAAATCCCTATGTTGCATTTGAGAAATGATGAAAACCTGAGAATCAAGGCATGGAGAAGCAGCAAGAATAGAACTAAAAACCGGGAGCAGTAAGACACCGAAAATATCTAAATGCAAGCAGGAAACATAAACAGTGACGACAACAACAACAACAAAAAGGAAAATAAAGAAGAGAGAAGTTATGGAAAAGGGCCTGATATCTGTTTGTACCACAGCTATTACCATAATGAGTAATCACTTCTGCATTTTAAAAAGCTTTATATTCAAGGAAAGTATCTAAAAAAGAATTATTGGTTTACTTATTCTATTTTTTAAAGCTGCTCTTTGTCCAAGCAGTTCAAGCCATTCTACATAGTTTGCCTGTGTTACCCTTCCTGCAGCCTCATAAAATACAGTAGGCTGTATTTGCAAAGTCTTTGCATGCTTTCATGGCATGTACATTCGGTCTCGTTATTTTTCAAGGCACTGACGACTGCATTGAGCATGCCCCGTTCTCCGCTACACTTGGCACGATTCCAAACACAACACGGGTTGCATACGTCTAACAGACAAGAGATCAGGCAAAAATTATTCAGCAGGTGCAGCTTTTTCCTATTACGCTGCAAGACTAGTCTCATCTGTAGAGCTGTCCTCCGATATGTAAAGAAAAATAGCTACGTTCTTTGTGACATCTGGCAAACCTATTTAACAGCTCCCAAAACAGAAGGATCCAATCCTTTTCTTGGGAGAAGGTGGAATGTTCAGAAATTAACTGCGTTTGATTTCCCAGGTTGAGGCCAGGAAAGTTCAAGAAAACATTTTTTAGGATAGCTTCGGTTGTTACTAAAAATTTAAGGGCCTTACACTCCATTTTTTTCTTTCTTTTACATATTATGGTTTGGAGCACAGTCATATTCCCACTGAGGTAAAAGTCAAGTCAACATCTTACATTTATTTGCCAAGAGCTGAGATTTATATTGGCCTCGGACGAGCCGGCAGGTGGAACCATCGCCATCACAGACCCCACAGTTATCTTCCTTCACGGGGCTTCCCAGCTGACGATCACAGCCAACAATCTGACAAAAGAGAAAGATGTGCAGTTCAAATTGAGCACCTCCTGACAGTTGGACCCATTTCTGAGCTTAGTTCCCGCCAATTTTCTTCATCACATTGTCTCCAAAGGGCCGTAAAGCATGTTCGCAAGAGAAGGGAGAGCAAAATGAATTTGCTTGGTAGAGTTCCATCTGAAATCAGGAGCACTGCTTACAAGGCAAAAAAAAAAAATAAACCACGGTGTGCAGTATTTAAAAGTTGCTGAAATGGGGTTTTTTTTGTGTGTGGGGGGGTGTATTTCAAACTCCTGTCAATATTTTTATAGTTAACATGTTTATTATTATGAAATAGTAACATGATTAAATCTCAATGAAAGTTCATCTTTGGATTTACTATCTTACTTAGCATTTTGCTGAGAAAAATGAAGGTATCCAATCTAACCGTGCATTAAACCAATGAGCGCAAGAGACAGGCTAATGCTTTTATTATATTGAATAGGAGCAAAATAAAAAATAAAAAAAACATTGCAGATACAACTTTTAAGTAACAGCTGTAATAATGACCGATAGTGTCCTACAACACTACTACAGGGCTGTCAAACTCCCAGCCTGATGTGTCACACTCTCGCCACGGCCACACCCGGTTTAGCAAAGGGGAAAAAAATCTTGATACGTTACATGACGCCGCCGTGACGATGTGACTTTGACACCCCTGCACTACTACCTAGGTAATTAGGCCATGAAAAAGCACGTTTAAATTGCAGCTTTCTATGTAACTTTTATATTTGCTGCTGCCTTACAACATCCTATTCCATCATATCATTTGGGGTCTACCTCATTCTGGGTGTTGCAAACTGTTTCTGGAGATTATTCAGGCAGAGGAACAAGATCATATATAAAACCAAAAGGAAGTCAAGGAATCTGAATTCTATTTTTAGGGGTTTTTTTTTCCCAACAGGAATTAAGGGCAAAATCTCTTCCTCAAATTTTTGTGTGACCTTGAATGCTCCACTCAAAAACAGAATAGTGTCTGATCCATAAAGCAGATGAGTCAAAGAAGAAGGATCCAAATGAGTATGCCATCTCAGTCTCTGATTAAACTATTCAGGCTTAAAGCATTTTTACACAGGCTTTACAAAGCTTAAAGTAATGACATGCATTTCAGAAGATCATATTAACACTGAAATATCCTTTTAATAAGCCCTTGAAGTTTAATTTGATCTAGCTTAAACTGAATCTGTTCAAATTTTCCTTAGCTATACAACCTGACTTAGGATTTGTTAAAATATAGTTATAGACACAACATAAGGATTCAGACATGTATCTTATAACACCCCGTAGTACAGGGGTGTCAAACTCGCTTCATCATAGTGTCATCATGTGACGTATCGCAACTTTTTTTCCTTCGCTAAACCAGGCATGGGCGTGGCCAATGCGTGACGCATCTGGCCCGCAAGTTTGACACCCCTGACACAATTCATTTCTTTTAGGTTCGTATCAAAGTAACCAGAATAAGAATCTGAGCAATATGAAGCATCATTCGCATGTTTCCTAACCTTTAGGAAACTAGAAATGCTTAAAGGTACTTTCTTAAATGAAGTATTTTAGTCCTGGAAAGTGTATATATATTTAAAAAAAAAAATCAAAGCTTTAAATTTAGCACAGTACGTGAGATCTAAGGCCGTCAGGCTGCAATTGCAGAGACTGTGCCTGTTTCTTTAAAAAAAATCCACAGCTGCAAAACAAGAATGCAGCTGTGACTTCTCCCATTCCGTCTGGCGCTCCCCTTTGTTCCCTACGCTGTTTAATTCAGCATGTGTGAGAGAAGCAGGAGATAAACTACACCATAGAGGCATCTGTGATATTTGGCAATTCTAGACAGATTTCTTTCAACTTTGGCGTCTCCTACTTCTCTAGCGCTAATCATCTGTACTAGGGATGAGAAGTCACATGTAGTTGTACTCTGATGTCAGAACCAAGGAGCAAATCCTTATGTGGATCATGGCAGGGGTGTCAAACTTCACTCCTTTGATGCTTTAGCTAGCCGCAGCTGTAAAATAGGCCGATTTAGCCTGTTATTTCAATAATAGGCAACTCACCTGACCCTTACGTTTCTTCTCTGTTTCTCCTTCAAGGTCTGAAGTTTTTGTTTCCAGTTTGAAATAATTTCCCCACTATCTGAATATGATTTGTAGCTAGTGTTGACTGGCAGGAACTAACTCTGGGTTTACAGCAGGGGTGTCCAACCTTGGCAACTTTAAGACTTGTGGACTTCAACTCCCAGAATTCCTCAGCCAGCAAAGCTGAGGAATTCTGGGAGTTGAAGTCCACAAGTCTTAAAGTTGCCAAGGTTGGACAGCCCTGGTTTACAGTTTATTTAAGTTTGACTTACAGCATCCTGTTGAGGGGGGGGGGGGGGGCAAAAAAGTGTTGTGATATCCCCAAAGCAAGTCCTTTTGGTACGTGCATTGTGGTGTTGCATGAATTTACAGTGATGAGATTCTGCTTTCATTGTTCTGATGAAAATAGGAAATTCCCATGGAGGCTCATGAGAGAAGAGTAAATGAGTCAGACATGTGCTTGTAACAGTAACAGTAATAGAGCCGGACGGGACCTTGGAGGTCATCTAGTCCAACGCCCTGCTTATGCAGCATATACGATTTCTGATAAATGGTTATCCAGTCTCTTCTTGAAAGCCTCCAGTGATGGGCCACTGTTTGTTAGAAGGATATAGGAAATATTTTAAAAAATTTTTTTTTACAACTGACTAGGAAAACACATCAGTGAACAAACATTATAAAAATAGGGTCAGAAAATGAGAGGAGGGTCAGACAGGAGGCCTATCCTTCTTCTGAATTGCGAGCTACGAAAAAATACTATACTGAAAATAAGGGCTTTTCAGAAAGATGATGACACTCCTAAGCAATTAAACGAAAACCCTCTGAAGATTTAAAGCTGGTAGTTCAGATTTGTCAGCACCACTAATCATATCTTCTGGACTCATGGCTGTTTTAAAAATACATAATTCAACATAGAGGTCTAATAAAATGAGAGCATGTTTTTCCACTACATGCATGGATTTTAAGTATCTGTGGTACCTAATAGCAGTCAATCTGAACTTCCATGGCTTCTCTAAGTTTATAATAAAACGCAGCAGAGCATATTCATTGTGCTTTTTAACAGTTATGGAATTTTTTTTTAATCAGTGTGTTTTTAAAAAAAGCCACATGAAGGTATATAGCCACTGCGAGCACCAATTTCACTGAACTAAACTTGTCACAGGATTAGCACCCCTATCGAAATCTGATGAATATTGCAGAGATAGTGTCGCACTGCATCCTCATAAGAGGGATATGATTTAAATGAATACATTTGTTGAACTTCTGCCACCAAATTTCAGCAAAAGGAAGCTACAGAATATGATTTCAAGCAATGGAGAGAAATTTTGAAGAGCCAATAAAAAGATACGCCAAATCACTTACAATAGTGCGAAACAATGAAATCTAATGCAGCAGTCAGCAACCTTTCTGGGTCCATAGACTGACGGCAGCAGCAGGGAAGGGGATGTTTCACACACACAACCTAGCTTGTTGGGGACACCTGATCTAGTGGAACCCAAGAGATATATGCCTTTTCGGGGCACCTGCCCTTTAGAACAGAATTCTCCCTTATATCAGATGGCCCCAACCTTACTGACCATTTGTAAGGCATGATGACCCAGCTTTGCTCTCAGAGATTCGGGTTGGGACACTGGTAGAACCTGATAAATTATGGTGTGTTCCTGTGAGGTGCTTTGATTACTCACTGAGATAATTGTTTAATTGCATTTTATTTTCTTTTATAAACTTGGAGAGGGGATGTTAGGGTTTGCACCCTATGCCAGTCACCCCGAATTACTTGTTGAAGACGTGCACCATATAAATGACTTGCATAAATAAAACCCAGCATTGCATCCACCAGTTATTCTGAATAGGAATCACTGTTCCATCTTCTTTACCACCAAGAAATTTGTCATTGAAAAATTACGATCCCTATTCCCCCTTTCTCAGAGCATAAACATTGCCTTGGAGAGAAGCCATTTCCACATGGCCCTTATTAACAGGTGTATGATTATTCCACACTGGAGACGGAGGGTGGGTGCCAAACTCACAAGAAAAAGCAGATGTTTCAGGAGACAGGCATCAGACTTCAAAGAAAATATATACTGTATATATCCATTTTTTGTAGACACCCCTTGCTCCTGCTTCAGGCAGACTCTATTTTTTTTCTGTTACTATCTCAGGATCAGGGGCAGACAACACCGATTTTTTCTATCAAAGTGGATACCACTCTTAATACTGCAACAATTGAATGATTGGCACGTGTCATTACAATGATGTTGGCGTCAAATCATCTAGGATAGAAAACAAGAAGTCATTATGACCCTGCACAACCAACCAACTGCCAGATACAGAATTGAGTTTATTCTTTTGCAAAGTGGATGTTTTGCACATTTAGAGATTCAATTTTATAACTGTGCCAACTCCAAGGGATTCACACCTTCCGATAAAGTTTGATCTGTAGACAGGTAGTCCTCGATGTATGACCATAATTGAGCCCAGAAATTATGTTGCTAAGCGAGACAGTTCTTAAATGCATTTTGTCCCATTTTAGGACCATTCTTGACACAGTTGTTAAGTGAACCACTGCAGTTGTTAAGTTAGTAACATGGTTGTTAAGTGAATCTGGCTTCCCCATTGACTTTGCTTGTCGGAAGGTCGCAAAACGTGATCGCATGAACCCGGAACACTGTAACCGTCATAAATATGAACTGGTTGCCAAGTGTCTGAACTTTGATCATGTGTCCATGGGGATGCTACAAGAGTCATTAAGTGTGAACAGTCACTAAATGAAGTGTAAGTCGGGGACTACTTTCAAAGTTACAACGGCGCTGAAAAAAAGTGACCAATGATCAATTTTCACAGTTACAACCTTGGCAACATCCCTCTGAACATGTGATCAAAATTCAGAGCCTTGGCAACTGG